GACTTTGTAGCAGTTCGTGCCTCCATAATGGCACACTCTCCGGTTGAATTGCCACATCATGCCCAGAAAGACATGAGTTGCTTGCATCGGAGCTACATCAGACAAGAGTTCATCCTTGTATTTCCCAATTTCCAATTGAACTCGAGCTTGCTTGTTGACTTTGATTCCACCGTAGTCGTTCAACCAGTGTAGGTTATACGGCTCAGGGTGCTTGCTCATGCTTAGACCAAGTTTCTTCACGACCTCTTGACTGATCACATTCGAACAACTACCCCCATCAATGATTAACGAAAGTAGATTACCTTGAACAAGGCATCAAGAGTGAAACAGACTCTCTCACTGACTTGTGTCCGAGGAGTTTTCGATTGTAAGAGCTTATCGGTTGACTGCCATCAGCTTCCCAGTTGGAGCTTCTTCCACTTCAATCTCCTCATCGACCTTTTCTTCATCACTAAAGCCATACTGCTTTTTGTCGGTGATGTATTCGCCATCTCGGATGACTAAGGCCTTGGAATTGGGGCATTGATTTGCCTTATGCCTCTACCATGGCATTTAAAGCATTGTATTCCCTCAAAACGCTTTGTAGGAGTTGGATTCAAGCTCCTGGGAGCCAATTTGTTGACTTCAGGCCTTGTCGAAGGCGAATTGGTTTTAGAAACTCGCCTCTGCCGTTGTCTTCACCGTCAGGGAAAATCGTCGGCCCAACGTCATCTTCTGATGCTTCTCTATCTTCACAACAAGGTGTACTGCTTCTTCTTGGTCGACAAAGGATCTTAAGTTGACTTCATGTAAGATTTCGCGATTCAAGCCGTGTAGAAACTGCAAAATCGAAGCTTCCCTGTCTTCATGGACATCGACTCGCATTAAGAGCAATTCGAGCTCTCGATAATCCTCCACGTTCCTCGATCCTTGCCGAATTCCCTGCAGAGATTCATGGAGCTAGCGCTGGTAATATGCAAGAACAAAATGATCTCGCATCAAGCCACACAGCTCTATCCACGTCGCAATCTTTGGGTGTAGATTTCGCTGTCGTCGGAGACGAACCTGCTCCCGCCACTGAGCAGCGTAATCACTAAATTCGTAAGTAGCCAAAGCTACTTTATGTTGCTCTGTATAATGCTCACACTAGACGAAGTGGATTAGTTTTCGTTTCCAGTCCAGGTAAGTTGTTGCATTCGACGTGCCCTGAAACGCCAGAATCGACAATTTGATTCCAGGGGGAATTGCCGGCTCTGCTTCATGGTGATCACATCGCTCTCGTTGCTGGCGATCGTGATGGGGCTCTGCCACGACTAATCTTCATTCAAGCTCCTCGATTCGGCTCAAGAGATTTAGGGTTAGGGTTCAGGTTTATAATTTAGAATTTGGGGTTGGGGTTCAAAATTGAAGGTTAACGGGTTAGGGTAATAGATTGATTAGCTGTGATATTATGTTATATAATTATATTAGACTAATACTACCAATTAAAGTTCAAAATTCGATGTATTATGACCACTTTTAGAGTTGGATGCGTTGAATGCACCCAAAAAAGTCAGTGCACCGAAGTAGCCACTATATAGCTTAGTTTGGCCCTGAGGTAGCTTTTGTAGAAGCAGCTTTTGGATGGAGCTTTTAGATAAGTACTTTTCAAAAAAAGCAGTTGAGTGTTTGGCTGTAAAACTATTAGAAGTGCTTTTTAATATGAAAGATTGTGTAAAATGACTATAAAGGACTTATAATATAAAATATGAATAAAAATTCTAAACAATAAAAAGTAACAAAATGGATCTTGTTAGATTTCTTTTATATTAAATAATATGATTGTATAATTTATTTTATTTTTAATATGATATAAATGAAGGAAAATTATATTTTCTGAAATAAAATTAAAATATGGTAAGAATAATCTTGTATTTTCAAAACAACTTTTCGCAGAAGCTCCAAATCGAAGCTTCTGCTTTTTTGTTATACAAAAGCGGTTTTCGACTTTTCAAAAACCGAGCTTTTACATGTGTTTGGCCCTGCTTCAGCTTTTGAAATCTAAAAATACTTTTAAAAGCCGGACCAAATATATGGTATATGTATTAGCTTTGGTTTGTATTATGATTTTTTTATTACCGTTGAGAGAAGTAAAGATCCGTCGTCTCGTAACATATGGATTCCCCGAGTTAATTGGCGGCGTGTGGTTGAGAGGCAGTGAAAGCGAACCACCAAGCAATGAAGAATCACGGCCCCTTGACACCGCGAAGAAGACGCAGCAACACAGCCCAGTAAAAAAAAAAAAAAAAAAAAAAAAAAAAAAAAAAAAAAAGCAGCACCAAATCAATTTGGATAGGGGTACGCGTCTCGAGGTTCATCCATTAACTGCGGCGCCATTCATCCATGATCCATCCATCCATCCATCCACCCACCTTTTTTTTTTCTTTTCAATTTTGGCTTTCTTTGCTCTCTGCGTCTGCAGTCTGCATCAAGATTGTCAACCCGCGGTTGATCCGGAACCGGTTGAGCTAGTGGGTCAAGGGTTAATAGATCATCCGTTTTAGTCCGGAAATATGGAAAGCATCAATATATTATACTAGTGTGGGCCCCGGCCAGTTGGCCGGAGGAAGGTAGGATGGCAATGGGTCGGGTTGGGTCGGGTTTTGCCAAATTCAAATCCAAATTCATGGGTTTATCCGTGAAAAAAATTCGGGGTAAAATCCACTGGGTTTGAAAAACTCAAACCCAACTCAACCCCCTGGGTATCCGCGGGTTCATGGGTACCCACAAGTTTTTGTCTTAAAAAATTTACAATAACAAGTTGCTATCAAAATTAAAGTCAAATATCAATCTCTCAATACAAATTATCCATATATAAAATACCATTCTAGAAAATTCAAGCAAATAACAAATTATCCATAAATAGCATGATTAATTGAAAGCTTCTTCCTTTCAATTAAGTTTCTTCACTCTCCACTCGATAACATCAACTTCATTCTACACAATTAGAAAGAAAAAATTAGACATGTCTCCACAAACATAAATAAGATAAGTTGTTTAGAATATTAAATATATCGAGAAAATTAATTATATGGGTGTGGGCGGGTACCCATGGGTCGGGTTTACCTAAACCCAAACCCAACCCAACCCGATGAATATTGAACGGGTTTAAACCCAAACCCGGCCCAAAATCCGTCAACACGGATTTTACCCGCGTTGACCGAGTTGGGTAGGGTGGGTACCCGTGGGTTCGGATTTTGTTTTCATCCCTAGAGGAAGGTGAGGTATGAAATTTGATAATGTAATGGGGTGTATAACTTATTGTTGTATAGTTTTTTTGGAAAACACGTGATAAAAATAGTGAATTTTAGCAGGAAATAGACATTAATGATGCAACAAATCAAAAATCGGCCTTATGAACCAAAATCAAGTACCTGTTACCTTGTGAAACAATATTGTTTCTGGTAATATGATGAGGTGGAGTAAGTTTTATAGAAACTGAATTCCAGAAAATCGAATAAAAAATCGCCTATCCCGTCGGTTTTCGGGAAATGAGCATCTCACAATCGTTGCTAGCTTTTACTCGGCCCGTTGGCCGATTAATTTGGTTTATAAAACTTTCATCTTGTCGTCATTGTGCTTTCTGGTTTTTTTCAGGCTATGATAAAATCTAAGGAAATAAAGAACGAACAACACGATTTGGGATAGGAACCGTCGTTGTCGTATCCCTAGAAAATGGTGGTAAACACGGACTCACCTGCCAAACTGGTTTGGATTGAGATTTTTATCGGGTATCAGGGAACCATGTGATTATAAATTAGACTTGATCAAAAGGGGCCAAAACTTGAAATGCAGCATGTTTGACCGACCCATGCCAAATTCTAATTATTCTTTACTTTTAAACTTTTTATTTGAAAATAAAAAATAGTGAAAGAAAAGAGATGACTGCCATTTGTACATCACTTATTCGGGAATAAAACCATAGAAATTCAAAAGGAACTGAAAATGTTAGGATCGTTTTAATGTTTAAAATAACCAAATAGATCTTTCTGTTTAGTTTTTTACTAACAAATACCAAACGATTCCCTATAAAATACACTATGATTTGATCATTATGATATCAAATAATTATATAATATATATTTGAAATGATAAAAATTGGACTAATTGGGTTGGTCGAGGTTGAACCATTGAATAACTTTAAAATACATTATATTTTAGCCACTAAGATATAAAATAATAGCATAATATATTATGCCAGAGAAAATAGCTTGTTTTAGAATGTCAAACCAATGATGTTCATTTGTTTTACTTGATGGCCAAATCCCGTGTAGGTCAAACCAATTCAACTCTTTTATTTTATGGTTAGCGGTTAGCCCATTTGATACTATGCATTAGTTTATTGTTAAATTTTTTATTTTTAGCAATAAAAAGAAGTATTGTTTTTGCCTCTTCATATATATTTTATCACCACGGAGAAATAAAAGGGCTTAATGAAAAAGCTGACACTCTTGAACCCGTTTAAATCCGCATGTGTACGGTAAGTTGGCCCGTTCCACAGAGGAAAGAGGAAAAAATTGACACTCCATATTCTATCATTCCTACAAACGCTTCTGGAGCAGGAAATTTGAAATGGGGGAAGGGTTTTTTTTCCTCTCTGCTATTATATCTTTTTAATTTAAAAAGATGCAACAAATGTACTTAGTGTGATTGGTTATGATCTTTACTTTTCCTTAAAATGGTCATGGTTCGAATCTCACTACGTGTCTTTTTAATGAATTAAAATAAGTAAGTGTGAAGACCAAAATGTCCTTCCTACTTTCACTCTCGTTGTAGGAAATTTGAAATGGGGCTCCCGTTTTTCCCTTCGGTGTATTATATTATGTGTAGACTTATTCTGATAAATTATATCAAATCTCATCTAACATATGAGTTATAACATATAATATTACACCAAATAACATTTCGTACTTAGATTCAACATATAGTGAAAATTCACACACACTTATATAACATTAATATTCAAATGTTCAACTTAGGATTCCAAAGATTGAGTTAAGCGAAAAGAAAAATCGAAAAATAAGCGCATATTGCAAAACAAAGAAAAAAATGACACAATTTGACCTCCAACCCCGTACCTTGTGGCGGTCGACCCGACGAGTGCGTGCGGCCTGTTTTTCTCACCAGGTCAGGGTCAAAGTGGGTCAACCCACAGGTCGACCCGCGGGTTGGCAACCTTGATCTGCACCAAATAATCAAAATTATTATTATCATTTTTCTCCCTCTTTTGTTTTTGTTGTCTTTCCACTCCCAGTCGTGTCCTCCCCCAGATACCAATTTTCCCAGCAAACAAACACCACTTGCAATTCCCCCCCAGCGCCGGATGCTCCCATTCCGAGTCCCGACTTTTCGTTAAATGATAATTTTAACAAATTGTTTGAGAATTCTGCCCATTTTGGTGGCCACCCCACAACCACAACCACAACAACACACACTTGCGCTGTTCTTCTCCTTCACTGGGATTGGACCGATTCAGCCTTGTTTTAAACTAGTATATCACATCCGTTAATTTATATTTTAAACTCTGCACCAGGCAGGAGAGCTCCCCTTTCCGTATTTGTTATATAGAGGTTTTATTAGTTCCCTTCCTTTCCCATATCTTCGGCGCAGCACCGTAAGATTTTGAAGAAATCCCAGTTCTGATTTTGTTTGTTTTCCCATACCCTTCCTCCTTCTTCGCCCTCCGGCCGCCTCGCTAGGTCTTCTGTTTCTGTGTTTTCCCGCAGACCACAAGGTGAGTGTTTATGGGTTTTTCATTCAATTTCCCGTTGAGGGTAAGCATGCCCTGGATTTGGGTTGGTCAAAGGTTGCTTCTTTTGCCCTGTATTCGTGTAGGATCCTACCTACTGTTAAGAGTTCCTGATGGGTTAGGGATTGGCAATGTTTGGGGATAGGTAAAAAAATTTTATGGACGATGATGGAATTTGATGGCGTTGTATTGTGTGTGAATCTGTATGGCGTTTGCTCATCTTGATCCTTCACAAAATATAACTGGTTGCAACGATTCAAGTCGATTTCAAGCGCTTGATGTTCTTTTAAATACTGAACTTGTCCTCCAGAGAATTATTCTTAACATCTTTTGGTTGGTTTGAACCGTGAACTAGACCATGTTGGACAAAGAGTTTTTCACCGAGTATAGCGAGGCAAGCCAGTACGATATTCAAGAAGTGGTTGGGAAAGGAAGCTATGGGGTTGTTGCATCGGCTATAGATACTCACACTGGGGAGAAGGTGGCCATTAAGAAGATGAACAACGTTTTCGAGCATGTCTCTGATGCCACACGCATCTTGAGAGAGATCAAGCTCCTTCGCTTGCTTCGCCACCCCGATATTGTGGAGATCAAGCACATAATGCTTCCTCCATCCCCAAGGGAGTTCAAGGATATCTATGTGGTCTTTGAGTTGATGGAATCTGATCTCCATCAGGTAATTAAGTTGAACAACGATTTGACTCCTGATCATCACCAATTCTTCTTGTACCAGCTTCTTCGAGGTCTAAAGTATATACATTCAGGTAAATTTCATGTTTCTTGATTTCACTCCCTTCACTTTGTACTCATGAGTTTCTCTGCTTTGCTTGATGGATGTTCTAATGGCTCTAACTGGTGAACATTCTGCAATAACAGCTCACGTCTTTCACCGAGACCTGAAGCCGAAAAATATTCTGGCCAATGCCGACTGCAAACTGAAACTTTGTGACTTTGGGCTTGCTCGTGTGTCATTTAGTAATGCCCCTTCCGCTATCTTTTGGACAGTATGTGTCAGTTGGAGTAGTGTTGTTGGGATATCCTCTCAGTAGCTCTGTCTGCTAATGCGTTGTTCCGTATTTTTGCAGGATTATGTGGCAACCCGATGGTATCGTGCCCCGGAATTGTGCGGCTGCTTTTCTTCCAAGGTTTGCTGATGGAAACTTGTATAACTCAATATGTTGTTACTTAAAGGTGCTCTTGGGAGTTCGTGACTAGTATTAGGATAATTCCCTGTCACGTGTGTGCATTTCTCGTGCTGTAGCCTGTAGGCATTCATTATTCAGTTGGAACTTATAAGGGACCAAATATTTATCTCAAAGATCTGCTTTTGGCTTCTTGGATTGGTGTCTAGTTGCTCTTCTTGACCTTGTTGTGTTTGCACTTGTTTTGTATTTTACGCCAATGCGCTTTGTAGTCTAGATACGTACATTTTGTTCCCCATCCCGGCGGAGCTTTTGGGCTAAAAAGCCCTCAAAATCGCGAGCAATGCAAGCTTTTGGGTTTCTTTATCTAGAGAACTAACGATCATTCATTGTTTTTTCTTCGAGTAGATTGATGTGCTGTCTTAGTAAGTTATTGTTTGAAGACGGTTTTTAGTGGAAAGGGAATGACTGTTTGCTGGTTCTTTTTGAGTTACCATTACTAACTTTCCTTAAAACAGTCCTTTACTAGCCATTTGGTACAGTTTGGTTCATCTTATTCTTTTTAACTGGTTGCTCGAAACTCAAGATATAGAGAGCCACATGTAGTTTGAGATGTTGCTGTATAGAACAAACTTTCAGGCAATGTATTGAAGGGTTTCTTCGTTTCTTTTTCTTTTCCAGTACACGCCTGCAATTGATATTTGGAGCATAGGATGCATATTTGCAGAGTTGGTAACAGGCAAGCCCTTGTTTCCTGGGAAAAATGTGGTCCATCAATTGGATCTCATCACTGATTTGCTTGGCACTCCCTCTCCCGCTACCATTTCACGGGTTTGTTATCTGCTCTTCTATCATTGTATATAGGGTGCACTGACCATAGACTTTTGCTTGATTTTTGAGAAGTTCGAGCAACTTGTTTGGCTGTTTACATTCTGATCGTTGGTCCAGATCGGGAATGAAAAAGCTAGGAAGTATCTGACGGGCATGAGCAAAAAGCAACCAATTCCATTCACCAAATATTTCCCTGGGAAAGATGCAGGGGCTCTTCGCTTACTGGAGCGCATGCTAGCGTTTGACCCTAAAGATCGCCCATCTGCTGAAGAGGCAAGTCTCTAGTTAAACTTGCTTCCTTGGAAGATTTTGGGTTGATATCTATCATAAACATCAGCATAATCCTCTGTGCAGGCACTGGCTGATCCATACTTCTATGGCCTGGCAAATTTGGAGAATGAACCAACTAGGGCACCCATTTCAAAACTGGAGTTTGAGTTTGAAAGGAGAAGACTGACACGAGATGATGTAAGAGAGTTAATCTACAGAGAGGTACGGCAATTTCATGCTCTTGATAATTATGCGATAAATTTGGGGGTGTTTTGTTGCTCTCCTCTGTTGTTCCTCGGCTACTTAACATATAAATCAAATAGATCTTGGAGTACCATCCTGAAATGCTAAATGAGTATCTCCGGGGCATAGACCAGACTCACTTCGTGTATCCTAGGTAAGTTGAAAGCTTCAGGACGGTAAAGTACTTTAGTTGTGCGCCTACGACTTGTCTTACCGTCTTGCATTTTAAAATTAACAGCACTACAGTATAATTGGTCTTATGCTCCTTTGGTGTTCCCTCTTGGTGGGTTTTGTGTGCCAAAATCTGGTGTGCTTTTTTCCCCCACATTTGGGTGGGAAAACTAGCTGTATGGACTAACACCGGGTGAATCTTCTCTCTTATCAGCGGAGTTGACTGGTGCAAGGAACAATTTGCTTGTTTGGAAGATGAAAATGGCGATGTAATTGAAAGAACCAGCCCAGTACACAGGAAACATGCCACCTCTTTGCCAAGGTTTTTGCTGGGCGAAAAGACGTCTTTGTTGTCCTTTTTAGCTGTTCTCTCTTATAATTTGGTCTTCAAGTGATTCAAGCCATACTCTCTTTTTCAATTTTCCTTCAGAGAAAGGGTGTGCACCATTGATGACCATGATGATCCCAAGAAGGGGGGCTGCGACTGTTGTCATGGTGGCGGGGATAATGCAAGGCCGAACTCCAGTAAAACTGCCTCTCCTCCAGCGACTGTACAGCGCCAGAGCCCTCGTGCACCACCAGCAGAGGAATCGACGCCGCTGCTGCCTTCTGCTAACAAAAAGAGCAGCACATTAACCAAGAAGAGCAGCAGTGGGAATCCCATTACACCGACTTGCAGCAGTGGACGCAGCCTGCTGAAAAGCGACAGCATTTGTGCGTCCATGTGTGTTGGTGTCGTTGGAAATGATCTGCAGGTTCATGCTCGGTGAATTTGAGAGATGGACGGTGGTGGTGGTGCTGTTTCATTTGGTCTTTGGAACGCGGGTCGTGAATTCCTGCTGTTTTTACTGCTTGATGATGATGATGATGACGATAAGGGTACTGACGTTTGCGTGTAATTCTGGGTACATTGTGATATCTGTTTTGTACTGACCAGCAACCGTTCTGCTGTAATCTTGTTCTTCGATTTGGAAATATTTGCATTATGGCCAACGGTGCAAGAAGGGGAAAAACGAAAAAACTCCTCTCCGGAGCTATTTGTTCTTGTTTTTTTTCTTACGGTTATTCTTGTTTATTTATTTGCTAAAGGCAGCTTTAATTTTACAATTATCGTCCTTAGCATCCTAACGAAAACCTCAACAGTCTACACCCACCAAATTTTGCCCAGTCAAAATTGGGATTTTAAGTTCATATTATATTAGAATGGAATATTAAGTAAAATCGAAAATTTGTACACTTTTGTATACTTTTCTCCATTTCAAATTTCCTGTAACGAGAGTGAAAGTAGGAAGGACATTTTTGTCTTTACAATTAATAATTTATCTCACATAAAATATCAACGTCAGGATTTGAACCCGGGTCTCTTCAAACAAAAACAACAATCGCAACCATTTAAACTAAACAAATGTTGTGTCTTTTTTAATACAAAATATACACGAAGTTCAACTCTCTGAAAATCGCAGGACTTTCCATCGTGATTAGCAAGCCCACTAAGAATACCGTATGTATTTTTATAGTGCTTGATACTTCACTTTTCATTGTCGAGTTTCATGTACTTTCTCAATTTTAAAATTATTTCTCTCTCCTTAATTTTTGCTAAAGGTAAATTGGTAATTGGCTAACATGAAAAAAACTAATTTTGTCACTACATATTGTGTCCTTGCATTTTTAAATTTAAATTTTGTGGGTTTTATCTTTGTTTATATCTCTTTCTAACTTCCTCGAAAATTCTCTTCATCGTACAATAGGTTGCGCCCTTTTCACTTCCCAGTACAAGGCCGCCTTTGAAAATAAATCATATGGTATCTCTTGGCACGTCGGTTTTATTATTAGGGATTTAACTTGGGCAAGTGAAAGAGTTTAATAAATAATGGAGTTGCAGAAGGAGGATTAGAAATTGAATTTTTGGTTGAAACATATATATCTTGAGATAAAAATTTGGTTGTACAACGATGAGTGGTGGCTATTGGATCTTTATATTTATGGTTTTTACATCTATCACAACCTATTTCTATCTTAAAATGAGGAATCATTGATTGATTTATTGAAGTAGGTCGATTCTTTATTTAACCTACTGGAACTGATAGACAAGGAGTGTCTAATTTTGCGCCTTATTACTTTGATTGAGTCTATTAGTAGTTGGAGATAACCCTAATTTTGTCGTTTGTTCTCAAGTTTTGATGGTCCCCTCTTAGCTGAGTTGTTAGTATATAGTTGACTTGAATCAACAACTCTCCATTTCTTTTTGATTTGTGGCGTATTGTTCATAAAAGAAGCGCATTAAACCCTTATATAGAATTGTGAGGTTTAAGATTTAGTTTCAAACTATCTATGGGTCGTGTGGAATTTCATTGCTTTTATACCCTCTTTCTTGACAATCAACTAACCAATAGCATTTTAAAGTGGACTTAATTATCATTATGAAAATGAAATTAATGATACATTTTATATTTTATATTCTTAAATGATGATAGACTTATATATTCTTTCTTTATGTATCATCTCGATCGAAGGATTGTCAATAAAGTTAAACCGGTTGAGTAGTTTAAACGCAACATAAAAATATAAATAATCAAATATGAATATTCCGACCAATAGGCGGGTTATAAGCTAGTACATAAAGTAGATTTATGAATTTCATTTCTCCATTTTGAATTTGCAGCTTTGACATTTTTTCACAGAAGAGGCAATGAGTCATTTCACATTTACACAATTAATTGGGTGTTGCGTTTCGAATAGCTTGTTTTAATTGTTGTTGTTGCACACGGGCCCTAGGCCAAACTGCGATATTTAAATGGGCCTTTTTTTTTTATCTGTAAACTTCTTCCAGCGCTGACATCGAACTCCATCTCCATAGCATATAGTGATCGCAATGAGTCAGGTTGGGGCGGGTTTTGTCAAACCCAAACCCATGAGTTTATCTGCCAACAAATTTCGGGATAAAACCTGTTAGGTTTGAAAAATACAAACCCAATCCAACCCGCTGGGTATCCGCGGGTTCATGAGTACCCGGGGGTTTTTGTGGTAAAAAATTTACAATAACAAGTTTCTTTCAAAATAAAAGTTTAACATCAATTTTCTCATACAAATTATTCATACAAAAAACACTAATCTAGAGCATACAAGCAAACCGCAAATGATCAATGCAAATTGTTCAAAATTAAAGATAAACATCTATAAACCACAAGATTAATTGAAAGTTTCTTCCTCGTCAACTAATTTTCTTCACTCTCCACTCCATAATATCAACTTCATTATAGACAATTAGAAAGAACATATTATACATGTCTCCACAAATATAAAGAATATTAGTTGTTTAATGAAAATATATTATTTAGAATATTAAATATACCGGGAAAGCAATTATATGTGTGTGGGCGGGTTTAGCTAAACTCAAACCCAACCCGGTGAATAGTGTAGCGGATTTAAACCCAAACCCGGCCAAAAACCCGTCAACACGGATTTTACCCGTGTTGACCGGGTTGGGTCGGGTGGGTACCCATGGATTCGGGTTTTTGTTGCCATCTCTAATAGCATACGGAACACTGGGAGCCATTATTATTATTATTTTTATAAATGGCATGTATTATTTCATTAACTGGTTGAACTATTATAGGAGTTCGCTATAAGCTGAGAAACCAAAAAATTAAGTGGCTGTTGATGTCGACTTCTTCAATCTTGGGCCCCGAAGCGATTTTAAGTGCCTCTTTATCGTAACCTTACTTCGTGAAGTTGTCTCCGATCGCTTCCTGTAAAAAAGGGTCTGACCACCGATCTTGATGGGGCACCCGCCGATCTTGAAGGGTCCGCTCATGTTAGTCCCTAATGTCGCCGATCTCAGAGTACTCCCCCCGGTCTCTTGCCTTACCTTCCACTGGAGAGCATGAGCTAGTTATAGTATCAGGAGGACAAATGTCAGCGCCGGAGATGAAAGAAGGATACGTCACTAGAAATGTGTCGTTTCTGTCCATCTACGCCCGCAAGGTGGTTGTACACATGTCAACCATGCTTTTAACTAATGGGAACACCCTTTCAACATGGAGACTGATTGAGGAGAGCATAGTAGTCAAAATCCCGATTTAAATCCTAAAATCCTACGCTTTTACGATTTTACTTACCTATTCCGATTCTGATTTCACTATAAAATCTATGGACCTTAAAATCCTACACTATTCACGATTTAAATCCTTAAAATCTTACGATTTTACGATTCAAATCTTTGAGTCAATTTTACTTATTTTCCCCAAAATTTGCAAAATTACTCCTTTTTTTCTTCTCCTCCACCAACGTCATATAGTTCTCGCACAGTAACCACCATCGACTATAATCAATTCACATCAACATATTAATCATCATCGATTCACCACCTCTTAACATTAACCTTAAGTTATCATCGATTCACCACCTCTTAACATTAACCTTAAGTTATCCAACGAAATTTTTTTTTATCATTGTAAGTGTTTTGTGATTTTGTGTTATTCATGATTTTCCTTACTAATATTATTTCGTCTTCATTTTTCATATGGAACTTAAAATCCTACGATTTTACGATTTCGATTTTACCCCCATTTTCGATTTTACGTCAAATCCCGATTTTGACCGCTTTGGAGGAGAGGGCATTACACATGTACAGGTGGGAGTGCAAGCAATTGATCCAGGTGGGGGAGTTTTTGTGGAGCCGGGTGACAAGCGCAATAGTGCGCCGGCTAGTGCCAGGAGCCGAGACGATATCGGGTCCAGGCGCTGCGAGTCGGGGGGAATACCAGGCCGGCGCTAGGAACCAGACGAGAGGACAAGACCCAGCTCGAGGAGCTGGAGGCAATAGAGGGCTCGGGTGTCGGGAGGAGGGCGGAGCCCAGGAGCCGTGCAATAGCGGGGCTCGGGCACGAGGAGGAGGGCGAAACCCGGGAGCCGGGAACAGGGAGCGAAAACGGGCTCTTACGCCGAGAGCCAGGGGAGTAGCAGGCCCGAGCACCTGGAGGAGGGAGAAGCCCGGGGACTGGGAGTATCGTGCGAGAGGTGAAGGCCCGATGCCGAGAGTTGGGAGATTAGCATGCCCGGGCACCGGGAGGAGGGCAAAGCCCAGGAGCCGGGGACTGGGAGCGAAAACAGGTTCGGGGCTGGGAACAGGACGAGAGGTGAAGATCAGGCACCGGGAGCCGGGGGAGTAGCGAGCCTGGAGACTGGGAGGACGGCGAATCCCGGGAGCCGGGGATTGGGAGTGATAACGGGTTCGGGCTTCGGGAACCAGACGAGAGGCGAAGACCTTTCGCCTGGAGTCGGGAGCAATAGCGGTGTAACACCTCGACCTTTAGGTTCCGATTCGACCATAATACATGATCGGTTGGATTGATAGTTACATACGAAGGGTTGCAATTGCGGTTTATGAATAATAATAATAACTATTATATTATTATTACTATTATTAAAAAAAAAAGCAAAGAATAGTGGGGCGGCCAAAGAGGCCGAGCGGCCTCCACTTCCACTTCTCCCCAATACTACTCCCCCAAACCCTCACATAATAATCCCCCAGCCCAAACGCCGCAAAAACCCTTACCCCAATTTTCCCCGGCCCTCCTCCCTCCCCCAAACTCTCTCTCTTGCGAACCAAACAGCAGCAGCGACAACAATTGGCGAGGAGCAAAGCGGCGGGTTGTGTATATTATTTTTGTGTGAGAAGGAGGAAAAGAAAGGAGAAGAGGGAGCGCTAGTCCTTATGCCCGGCCCCGATCCTGATTCCCCAGTCCATCTCTCTCGTGTCCCTAGGTAAGGATCGCGAATCCTTTCACGATTCTCAACTTGATTCATTGTAGTCTAATCCGAAACTCGTATTTTTGTACTATATCGTTTACGGTGAGGTTTGAGGGTTCGAACATCGATTGATAAGGAGATCAACATCCCGCGTCATCCAATCTAGTCCTAGGAACGTTCTAGAGGTAAGTGAACTCGATCCCTTAGAGTTTGATTCATTGTTTTGGGGATTTTTCGTGGGGGTGCAATTCTGGGTTTTTAGCGACCGACCTTACAAGCCTTTAGTGACAGATTTTGGGTGGTTACTAAAGCTGCAGGAAATTTCCAGAAACTTGTTTTAAGATATTTAAATTGTTTCGAGCCTCTTCCGGTGACGTCTAGGTGATGTCTGCGATTTAATTTGGGGGTTTTTGAAGATGAATTACTATATTTAGAAATTGATAGAATGTTAATTTAAATTAAATAAAAATCATGTCGAGGTGTTTTTAAGGATTTGATAATTTTCCATGGTTTATATTCTCATGATTGACATGGTAAAATTATTATCCGAATTTTTAAGGAGGTTCAAGTTAGGTGGAAAATTCGCACTAGACGAAATTAATTAGGAAAAATGGTCGGTTTTGAAGGGATTTTTTCTAGAAAAATTGTTAAAGGAGAGTAAGGGATCTTTGGAATAAGATTTAAGGACGAGACTATGAGGAGAGGGTGTTTTGGTATTTCAAAAGGGATTTTAAATCGAGAAAGGTCGTCTAAGAAAATGGATTCTTATTAATAGGTTTTCCAAGATAATTAAGGAGGGATTTCTTCGAGGAGTCATCTTTTTTAGGTGAGTGTAAAGGGGGTAAAATCTCTATCGAGGTCTTTTAGTTTAACATTTTCGTTCCAAGTTATTATTTAGTTAATTTTTGAGTAATGCGCGACATGTGTGTGAAGCATCCCACCGCCTACTTAAGGTGGAGGCACGCGTTGTGCTATGTATGAATGTATGGATGTATGATTGTTATAGTTGGTTCATGGTAAGATGAACCCCCGGGCGGTTGGGCCACTATTGGACGCAGTGGATGTGCGGATCACTGCTGGACAGCGATACGTAACACAACAGTTGATCGAGGAATTTGGGTCACTACTGGACGGCGATATGTAACGCAGGAGTTGACCGACATGGATTGGACGACGTTACGTAACGCAGACAATTGCCTTGAGGATAAAGACATCGGACGACGATACGTAACGCGGTGAACCCTAATGTTAGGGTATAAGTTAAGATAGAAGTATAGAGCTTCTATAGTATTGGAAGGAGTAAAATACTCAGGATGAAAGCGAGAACGACTTTCATATAAGACAAAAATTTTCTAATAATGTGTTAGTAAGGTCCTTCTTAGGGCATAGACCTTAGAAAGTAACGACGAGACTGACCCCTTCTCACGCACTAGGTGCAGAGGGGAAGATGACGCATCCATCAAGAGGAGGTTACCCGAGGAGAGCAGCTGTGGCAACCTTGAAGATGTCAGCTGGATCTGGGTAACGAGATGGGACCTTCCATTATGTATGTCTTTAATTTCATGAATTAATGAGTATACTAGGAAACTCAAAGATTGTGTTTTATGTTTTGTTGCTTTGGATTGAGGTCGGGAGGAGGGAGGAGGCCGGGGACCGGGAGCGATAACGGGCACGAGTGTAGGGAACCAAACGGGAGGCAAAGATACGGTGTTAGGAGCCGAGGCAATAACGGGCCCGGGCACCCGGGTGCCGGGTCTGTGTGAAATAATGCACCAATAGGAGCTGGATGGATGGTGCCCAATATTTCACTAGAGAGAGTCATGGGTCGGGCGCGATGTCGGGCCAGGTGCAATAATGTATTGTTTGGGTAGATGCTGGGCTGGTGCAGTAAAGATATTTTTACATTGGGTATATCAATATCCTAGAAGCCCATATCTCAATCTCATCCCAACCACATAGGGTATGGCCCATCAAATGATAGGAGATTTTATATGATTAGCAAGTTAGATTCCTCTATGAAGTCTATGATAGTTAATGGGTAAAGTAACTAATTTATTCAACTAGATTAATATATGTTAGTGTATACTAACATATATTTCAACTAGGTAAGTGTTTTAGCACGATTAGTTCTCCAAGTATTTAAATTGGCTAAGATCTTAAAATTATTAGATTTGAGAGTTTACGATCCTAACTTTGCACTTCTTGCAGAAAATCGTCGCTAAGAATCCAAAGCCAAACTTTTCTAATCTCGGTTTTCACCATAGGATCAAGAGGCAAATCACGCAAGGAAAGACACCAATCTTCAAGTTGTAAATGACTTAAGTTAATAAGGTGCATTATTGGGGGACCAGATTTAATTATTCAAGTGATTTCATGCTTGTTATGCTTTACGATTTCGTCCGTTTTATCATATTTCATATCCAACAAGGATTGAAATACCATATTGTACTAGTGGTTCGACCAGAAAAACCTCGTACCGGAAGCGAAATCGGTAAGCGGTATGATACGATTGAACCAAGGTTAAACCACGGTTTCAGCATAAAATACCCTACCGCTGACTTTTCTAGTACGACCTCCGGTACGGTATTTCAATCCTTTTATCCAAGTAATGATTGTTGGGATCGATTTACAGGTGCATGTATTATATTTATAAGCAAGTTAATGTTTTAAAACTCACCTAACTAGCTACGCACGCGACACCTACATTTCCCTTTGTTGGGAAGCTATCATGTTATGGTACCATACTCCTTCAGATAAGGAGGTCATGCTTGCAAGTATGTTGGTACTGGTCAGTTGTTGCAGATAGCACACGGTTACCCTTATCAAGTCTTTCATGTTTATCACATTTGGGTGATCGGACGATTGTGCTAATTAGGGCGAGCTCGGATCCCTCTTTCAAGTAAAACAAGCGTAACTATTTAACTATGCATGTTCAAGTATGTATTGTTACGTAGCTATTACTTTTAAGATAAAGTGCACCTAGGACTGACTCATCACGCTCACATTCAGGAGCAGTTATAAATCAGGAGCGTGCAGATCACCTGAGGGGCACAATTGCTCTTCAGGATGTCATCAGAGGGGTCATTGGCTGAGGAAGCTTCATGGAGAACTTCTTTTAAATTTTATGCATTGTCTATTAGTAGATTTGACATTGATGTTCGCTTGTGTTGGTTTGTTAATGATGTTTTCCCTTTTTAATTTGGATTTGATTAACGTGATTTTTCGGTTGTACTGTTCAATTTGAATGGTTTATGGTTATCAAGGACATTTTGATAAATTTAGAGATCGACTGGTGTAGCGGTTACAATTTTCATCATCATTTTCATTATTAATTTATTTTTAGTACATAACGCGCCCCGCGATTCTGTCTAAGCTTCCCACTCCCCCATCTCTTCCCTCTTTATTGTTTTCTATAAATATCAGAGCTACAAAAATGGCTTCTCCATTGTCCGGATTCCATTGCTCGCCACCAGCGTCCAGACTAGTCTTCTAAAAAAATGGAATTAGGAAAGAGGGAAGAACGGCAGGCAAACCATAAAAGCTGTTTTTGGGTTGTTCCCCAATTTTGCCACTTGTTGTGATACAGAGAGAGCTTTTTTTTGTTCAACTACGCTCTTCTTTTTTTTTTTTTTGCTATATATGAACAGTTGAACGTTGTTCGGCTGTTGTCGTTGTGAAAGAAGGAATCCCATTATCTTTTACCCTCCTTCTTCAAATACCTTACTCGGTGGGTTTAAAATATCCCCCGCCCTCCCATTTGGGTTTCCAGAAACCCCCAAAGCTGCTCCGTACGGCCAAATTCTCTTCATTTTATTTTTGCGGGAGGGAAGCAATTGTTCTGCTCCGTCCTTCTCCGCGGGTCACCGTCCTCCTGCTGCGGAGATTTTGGGTTTCTGGGTAAAGTTTTTCCACCGCCAAAAATGGTTTGTTTGGTAGCAAGATCTGGAAGGGAGTTGCAGAGGTACAATCCCATGGGCGGCCGTCAAGTCGTCGGGTAATTTTGAAGAAACTTGAAGATGTTAGCTTTCGATGTTGAATTTGAAACTTGGGAAGTAATGTTGATGTTGGGGTTTTTTTTTTCAGATGCATTCCATACAGATTCAAGAACTACGATGATGGTTCGATCTCTGATGAATTGGAGGTTCTTGTCATCACATCTCAAAAGGGTGGTTCAGGCATGATGTTCCCTAAGGTATGCTTACCCAAAAGGCATAAACTTTTGAGATCCAAAATCCGCAACCCTGGCTTTCTTCTGTGTTTGACTTTGAATGAATGGTTGATTGATCAATGATTTGGCTTTGTGTTTCGGGTATTATCAGGGTGGTTGGGAACTCGATGAATCTGAACAAGAAGCTGCTTCTAGAGAATCATTTGAAGAGGCTGGAGTTCTTGGCACAGTTGAGGTTGGTATCTAATTCGATTGAATCAAAGTCAATGAAACCTAGCTATTTGGGATAGATGCCATGCCCTCTTTATTATTACCCTTCTTTTGTGACGGATGTTTGATGATTCTCTCTTAACCTTCTTTTCACCATATTGATAGGATCAATTGGGGAAGTGGAACTTCATGAGCAAAAGCAATGGCATATTCTATGAAGGGTATATGTTCCCTTTGTTTGTGACTGAGCAAGTCGATTTTTGGCCAGAGAGGCATGTCCGCAGAAGAGTATGGGTATGCCAACTTTCCCCACCTCGTCCATGACCCTGTGGATGGAGATGCGTTTAGTTCCAATATGCTAATCGAATCCGATTTCCTATGTTTCAATTTCAGATGAGCGTCGATGAGGCCAGGGACGCTTGTAGGCACTGGTGGATGAAGGAAGCTCTCGATGTATTAGTGGCGCGGCTAAAGTGCCTGAACCCAGAAGACAACGAAGAAGAAGAAGAAGAAGAGGGACGAGAAGTAGAAATACAAGGATATGGACAAGAACAAGATGAAGTATTAACTTGCACGCCTAGTTAGCCGACTACTCATCGTCATCGCCTTGTATATACATAACCATTTGACGGTCACAGAGCAGCAGGCAAGGCAGGCAGGGTTTTTCCCAGTTTCGCTTTCAAACCATGAAGGCAGGCTAAGGGAAGTTAGTTCTGATTGGAGGAGAGTTGGTTTAGGACTGACAGAGAAGACAGAAAAGCAGCTCACAAAGGATTCGCCACAACCAACCATTACTGTAGAAGTGTTGATAGAAGAAGAATGCTGCTTATGGGTATTCCATTCCTCGATGTCTTGATCCAGAAACAAAATATTTCCCAATCTGGTCGTGTATGCAATTGCAAAGTAGAGAGAAAAAAAGGAACCAGAAGAACTGGGAGGATGTACATTTTGTTCTTTCTTCTTCTTCTTTCATGAGTCGATTTGAGTTTCCACTTCAAATTTGTTTGGCCACATTGCTTGCTTCATTCCTAATTTCCGAGAGATATATGTTATATGTATTAGTATTACAGAATATTGCTCTCTTTATCTTTTCCCTTTCCCCAGTTATCTTCTCACCACAAGGTAAACACAGTCCCCAAGCTGAAAATGAGGGCTTATGTTTAGTGTGTGAAAATGGCGGCAGCGGATGGGTACATCTGATCTAATCTCATCCATTATTGGAGTGGAGGAAAGAGAAAGTTAGAGCCTAGTCATATGAGCCCATTGTTTTTTATCTTTCTTTTTCTTCTCTCTGGAAGGATTGGAAGACGATGACTTGCGAGTTGCAAAGTCTGTCGGTCCTGTTTTATTCTACGTAGGGTTCACAACAAAATCCAAACTCACCGGCTAACCTATCCGGTTCAATTCAGTTAACGTGGGTAAAATTCATGTTGACGAGTTTTGGGTTGGATTCGGGTTTAAACTCGTTCATTATTCACCGAATTGAATTGAGTTTGTGTTTAGATATACCCGCCCACACTTATATAATTAATTTTTCTTGTATATTTAATATTTTAAGCAACTAATCTCTTTATTTTTGCCGAGTCATCTCTAATTTTTTCTTTCTAATTGTGTGGAATAAAGTTGATATTATCGAGTGGAGAGTGAAGAAGTTTAATTGACAAGGAATAAAAAGTTTTTAATTAATCATGTTGTTTATGGCTAATTTGTGGTTTGCTTGAATTTTCTTGAGTTTTCTATATTGGTGTTGAACAATTTGTACGGTTAATTTATGATTTGCTTGAATTTTATAGAGTGGTGTTTTATATATGGATTATTTGTATTGGGAAATTGATATTTGACTTTTATTTTGATAGGAACTTGTTATTGTAAATTTTTTAGGACAAAAACCCATGAGTACCTATGAACCCGCAAATACCCAACGGGTTCAGTTGGGTTTGAGATTTTCAAATCCAATGAGTTTTACCTCATATTTTTTTCAAGGATAAATAATCCATGAGTTTAAGTTTGATAAAACTCAACCTATACAGACGCATTGTCATCCCTAATTCTATGTCTATCCACAACACGAATACCACCCCAACCTTACATTGCATGGCGTGATCACAATGGGAAATAGCATAGGAAATGGGCCACGCCTTTCTTTCTTTCTAGTATGTTGAAAAATATTGAACACACAAACCACTTTTTGAGAAGCTACTAACCCTTTGGCGGGAAAAGTCAAGGTGTGTTCTCTTGAACTAGGAGGAGAGTTGGTGGGCTAGCCAAGACAAATAAATATTGGGATGATCACATCAAATTAATAATAATAATAATAATAATAATAATAATAATAATAATAATAATAATAATAATAATAATAATAATAATAATAATAAAAAATGGTTGTATACTTGTATAGATAGCTACCCAGCCGTGAGATTGGGGGATGGGGATGGGGATGTGGATGGGGATGCCTTCTGGGTTCAACATTGATCCACTATCGTCTTGTCTTCATGCGGCTCATAATTCAACTATATGGTGACAAAATACATTTTTGTAGGATTTGGGACTTAATATAATAACTAGCTTGTAACCCGACCCGTTGGTCGGAGGAGCTGAGCCGAATATTGAATTATTGGGATAACCCTTAGATTCAACCATTAAGCTAAATTGGTCTAATGGTGAGTACCGCCTAGCATATCCCTAATAATCATACCAAAGTGAATATATTGGAACATAAACAGTACATCAAAAGTTGGTACAATCATGAAGTTAGACCATTAAAAACATACCAATGAAATTGAATAGCATCGAAAAACTTCAACTTCATTATATAATTACATGAGATCAGAAAGAGAACACCATTAATTTGATTTATAAAACTTTCATCTTGTCGTCATTGTGCTTTCTGGTTTTTGTCAGGCCATGATAAAATCTAAGGAAATCAAGAACGAACAACACGATTTGGGATAGGAACCGCCGTTGTCGTATTCCTAGAGAATGGTGGTAAACACGGACTCACCTGCCAAACTGGTTTGGATTGAGATTTTTATCGGGTATCAGGGAACCATTTGATTATAAATTAGACTTGATCAAAACGGGCCAAAACTTAAAATTCAGCCTGTTTGACCGACCCATGCAGAATTCTAATTATTCGTTACTTTTAAACTTTCTATTTGAAAATAAAAAATAGTGAAAGAAAATAGATGTCTGCAATTCGCCATTTGCACATCACTTATTCGGGAATAAAACCATAGAAATTCAAAAGAAACTGAAAATGTTTAGGATCGTTTTAATGTTTAAAATAACCAAATAGATCTTTCTGTTTAGTTTTTTACTAACAAATACCAAACGATTCCCTATAAAATACACTATACTTTTATCATTATGATATCAAATAATTATATAATATATATTTGAAATGATAAAAATTGGACTAATTGGGTTGGTCGAGATTGAACCATTGAATAACTTTAAACTACATTATATTTTAGCCACTAAAATATAAAATAATATAATAATATATATTATGCTAGAGAAAATAGCTTGTTTTAGAATGTCAAACCAATGATGTTCATTTGTTTTACTTGATGGCCAAATCCGGTGTAGGTCAGGCCCATTCAACTCTTTTATTTTATGGTTAGCGGTTAGCCCTTTAGATACCATGCATTAGTTTATTGTTAAATTTTTTTTATTTTTAGCATAAAAAGAAGTATTGTTTTTGCCTTTTCATATATATTTTATCACCACGGAGAAATACAAGGGGTTAAAGAAAAAAATTGACACTCCTGAACCCGTTTAAATCCGCATATGTACGGTAAGTTGGCCCGTTCCACAGAGGAAAGAGAAAAAAATTAACACTACCTATTCTACCCTTCCTACAAACGCTCATGGAGCAGGGAATTTGAAATGGGGGAAGGGGTTTTTCCTCCCTGCTATTATATGTTTTTGATTTAAAAGGATGCAACAAATGTACTTAGTGTGATTGGTTATGTTCTTTGCTTTTCTTTAAAATGGACATGGTTCGAATCCCAGTACGTGTCTTTTTAATGAATAAAAAAAAGTAATTGTGAAGACCAAAATATCCTTCCTACTTTCACTCTCGTTGCAGGAAATTTGAAATGGGGCTCCCGTTTTTCCCTTCGGTGTATTATATTATGTGTAGAAATAGAAGGTTCTATTTCCCAGATCAACTCAATCAAATGTTTAAAAGTAAATGGACTTTTGTTCTTTTGTTTTTTTTTTGTTTTTTACAGTAACCTGTGACGAGACTTTTTAAAAACCTTGTTAAGTCTGTATTATTTAATCGGTTCAAGTGTGCCTTGATAAAATAACTGAATTGCTATTCGTCGTCCTAAAATTTAAATTATTTCGCCCTAAATTGTACTAAATTAACGTTTATAGCCCTGTGCAATATCAATTACTAATCGCTAACTCCGATTGCAGTCTAACCCACCAACCGTCCGACCACCGCTGTCATTCCTCGAACCCACCGCCGCACCCCTTTCCCCACTCCGCCGACCTGCTGTTGCTAAGGAAGGAAGAAGACTCCATAAGGTTCTCTCGCCATTTTTTTCTTCTTCCTCTTCTTCCTTGACATTCAACAGCCAAAAGGTTTCCTTTCTCTTCTTCCTCCGTATCCCTAACAATTTTACTCCATAAATTCTCTTATCGATCAATCATTATCCCCTCAACTGCCAAAAAGCGACGATTGGGAGGGAGGGGTTCCGTTTCGCTTTCTCCCATATTTAGATGGCGGCGGGTGCAATGGCGATCGCCACCGGAGCGCGGTGGTGCTGTACTACTCATTGAGTCGGAGATTGGTGGCCAACGGCGTCGGGGTTAATGGGGTAGGGCAAATTAGAGCGACTAGGGCGATGGATTGGCGACGGTTTTGGGGATTGGGGTAGAATCATCTTTTTGGTATGTTTAGGCGAAAATTTTAAAAAATTAAACTAAGGATATTTTAGTAATTTTAATAAATATTAGGGTGACGAATAAGGTATTTTAGGGCGACGAATAGCAATGCCCTAAAATAAAACAAGCTGCCTCACTTATCATTTTTTATTTTTCTTTTTTGAATGGTCTTCAACCAAACAAAGGAAACCCTGAACATCAAGTGGCAAGGGATCAAGCTACGCAACATGTTTGGTGCCTTTCAAATTTGATATGCTTCCAAATGGCATGAATGGATTTGAATCGAAGTGAAACTTAACCTCACCCAACAATCCTATCTTATAAAATTGAGTGGTTTAGAGTTTAGTGGTTAATCGTTATAAAATTGCTGATTAACCGTTCATGATAGATGACATACAAGAATTGTATATTATTCTAATTTAAGAATGAAGTTATTATTCACCATAAAAATTTCAAATTCATATTATAACCAAAATATCATGATTTAATATGCCCCTTTACTATGCAGTCTTATCAAACATGCCCTTCTACTATTTTTTTACATCAAACATGCCCCTCTACTTTGAAAAAACGATCAAAACGCCCTTCTATTAAAATTTCCATTAAAAAAATTGTCAACCATGGTTGAACCGAGATTTAGATGACCGGACATCGGTAAATGGGATGGAAAATGTCATTTTCCCCCAATTTAGTTCTCTATGTCTCGTTAAAGTGAAATTATAAGAGGTATTTGGCTCTACAAAAGAACCCAAAAAATTCTAAAGTGAAATTATCAAGGATATTTTAGACATCTGTGTCGCCCAAATCAAGATTCAACCATGGTTGACGGTTTTTGGATGAAGATATTAACAAAAGGGCATGTTTGATCATTTTTCTAAAATACAGAGGCATGTTTTAAGTAAAAAATAATAGAGCAGCATGTTTGATAAAATGACATATTAGAGGGGCATATAATACCTATAACCCTAAATCATTCAAATCGTCTCATAAAAGAAATTATAATTTTTTAATTTAAGTTAAAATTACGGTGCCAGTCTGTAGTGGACCACGTAAAGTCGACAACAATGTTGTAAAATGAAAAGATGAAGCAGAAATAAAATTAATAATTATGGTTTGATGGTCTTACTTTACGTTCAGGTATTTTTTTTAAACCATGGTAGTTCATATGTTTTATGAAAATTATTTTTTACTAATGAAACAATCTTGATCTATACAATAGTGCTTGACAATTTAGTGTATAGTATTCTTGATTTAACTGATAACAAATGGTATCGACAATTTAGTGTATAGTATTCTTAGACATGAGGTGCAAATATGAACTCATGGATTGTTTCTCTTGGTTGGGAAACCTGACTAGCAATCTTGGGCATAATCACAAGTTGGTGGATTTATTGGATCTGGTGGTTAGAGGTGGCAATTAGGATCCAAATCCATGAATCCAATCCAATCCATCCACCAAATTATCCACTTAATCCAATCCATTTGATCCAAATCCAATTGGATTGGTGGAATCATGGATCAATCCATGGATCCAAATGGCAAATTACGATTTGGTACCTATATTTTTTATATTTTACATTTTGGTACCTAAAATTTATATTTTTATACGAAAAAATCAATGGAAAATTATATTTTGGTACCTAAAATTTTTCATTATGACATTTTAGTACCTAAACTTTTCAATATTTACATTTTGGTCCAAGCCTTGGGTGTCATTTGGATTCATGGATCAATCCA